TATATTTTCTTTATACTTATAAAAAAACAAAGAATGAAGAAGCAATAATTAATCTAGAATCCTCATTCCATTAATCAAGTATATATTACTATAAATAAGCTAGCCTCGTCAATATGTGGTTTCAGAGGCGACGCCATTATAATGAATATTAATAATAATATACTAAACTTTCGTAATAAGCGCTCATGCGCCTAATGAAGCTACCTCTGTTGTATAACAGGAGTTTTATGACCTTCACGAACATTCCTATCAGTAATATCCTAATCGAAAAGTCGAATTCATAAGACCAGAGCTAAACAACGTAGTAGGTGTGTTGCATGCGTTCAACAAACTATAACGGAACGTCTTACCCCGACGGTTGCAGATCGCTATGAAGATGAAAACGGTACTCTTCTGTTTCAAACTGACCGCAAATTGCCAGCAGCGGATGACCTCTTTGGCTCCTCACAAGAATTCTAATTTTAAAACAACGGTTTAGCATTTCATCCATTTTATGCGCCCTTCTTTTTATGATGGATGTGTTTGTGTAATTTTTTAAATGTTTTAAGAAAGTTCTTTACTTTTTACCTCTTTTTACGTTCTAAGCTTTTTACCTCTTGCTTTATTTGTTGTTTGGTCATTTTTTAGGATAGAACTTTGTTATTTTACATCGTAAAGAACCTAGTCCGATTGGTAGTCAAGAATATCATGAAAAATAAAAAAGCAAGTATATTTTTATTTTCTATTATTTTTCGGCGTTATTCTTGATATTCGGAACATACTTTTCTTAATTATCAATAGACCCATTTTTTTTTTTATTGGGTGTTACAACAATCTTTCACTTGGACGTTAGTTATAGTGAGGTAGGATAACATCTAAACTATATGTACAATAAAATATAAAATAAATAGAAGCAAAATAACAATAAATAATAATCAAAAGGTATATATAATAAATAAAATAAAAAAACTTAAACATGAGAAAATTAAAACAAAGCAAAAAACACATGCATACCTGCATACACTATTTACAAACAGGCGAGGGAACTCCGAGACAGGCTTGTTCCTCCACCTATGGAGGGAAAAGCTGAACTCCAGGAGAATCCTGCGCTACTCTCAACCGCATCACTAGTACTGAAACCAGCGGAGATTGATCGAGTGCATTTTAGTCACATACACTCATGCCTTGAGTGGAGAATCTGGCCATTGCCAGAACTCCAATATATACAATCTACAAAAGGTCGCGGGGCCACCGATGGTTCAACCTTCTTGGAGGATTATAGGTATGGATGGTGCAAGAGGATTTGGATGATAAGTAAGTTTCTGCTGAAATTTGGAGAATTTGTCTGAGATAAGGTCTAGGACAAATGGGATGTTGAGGTCATGATGTAGTGTTTTGTTGGTTACATAGAAAGGAGCATCGACTAATGTTCGAAGGATTGGATGCAATTGATGTTAGAACATTTTGCTGTCCCCCATAGTTTTAGTTTAACACCGTCCAGCTTCATTTCTCAGATACAGTCTGGTATCTTGGCTTTATCTTAAACAGACGGCTAATGTGGAACCCTAGGCTTAAAAGACAGGAACTTAACCGACAATACGGCCAACTATAGTGTCAAATATTAAATTTAAACATATAATTTTTCACTTCATATTTTTCCTAAAATGATAAACTTTTTTATTGAATAATGATGAGCTCTTTATATGCGTTCCAGAATCATAAGGACAATATACGAGAGGTTTAGAGAATGTTTGATTTAGTTGATTTTATATATTATTTCCAGTTACATTTCGGCCTCCTTTGGGTTAAAGAAGTTTCCAATTCTATATTTTATAGGTAGAACAATTCCCTTGAAGTCTTGGTAAATACAGTCAAAATTTCGGTATTTCCAAATGATTTTACCCGGTTGATATTATGCATGTTATTTGAGTTGGCTAAAAGCCTTTTGTAATCCCACATTTTTTTCCTGGATTTTGAGGTTTTTCGCTCATCCACGATCCCTCCTAGTTAAATAATTTGTTAACAATTTCTTTGAAATTGTTTTAAAATAAATTTTTCTGTGAAACTATTTAGGATAACAAGTTATTAAAACTTTAATAAACAATTGGACTTAAATTAGAGTTATAATTTGTCTTAAACGAATTACACATGATTCTAATGTGTCATTTGTTTGAGAAACTATGGATAGAACTCATTTTTCTGATTGAGTTTTTAACGAAATCGACAGAACTTTTCATTAAAAGATTTTTAAAAATAAAAGTTCTGTAAAGCCTTTACTTGAAAATTTGCTAAGAAATAGTCCTATTTCTAAAATAACTGAAAAACTATCGAAAATAAAAATTCCGGTGATACCGAAACTTTTTGAAAATAAAAGTTTTTTTTTCGTTTTAGGCTCTTTAATTTTATTATTGTCTAAAATAATGTCACGGAAGGATATTTTTCTTCCTAATGCCTGACATGTCATTATTAACGTTTTACTGATTTGAAAGGCAAACCACTGATTGTCCATGTTATATTAGACAGGTGTGCCGAAAAGAAATATAGTTTTAAAAAATAATTAACATATATAATAAATGACTGTACAATTTATAATTGCCGATGATCAGGTGCACAATGCAATGATTGCAACAAATTGCAAATGACGAAGAAGATGTTTCCTTTATGATGAGGAAGGTATTGGAAGCCTATACCGCAGGAGGCTTGGAAATCAGTAAAACAAAAAATAAGTATGAGGCATTCAATAATAGTGGAAACTCCTCATTAGATTTTTACGAATAGAATTTGGTCCCAACTGAGCAATTTAAATATTTAGGTAGGTGGCTTTCGAAAGGGAACAATAGCAAAAAAGATATTGATGAAATGTTACCAGAGGTAAAAAGGTCATATGGTCTTTATGTTCTGTTCTATGGAATAAAGAGGTAATGCTCTAATCGAAAAAGAGACTATACCATTCCTTTGTTGTAAGCACAGTATTATAGGCCTCAGAAACCTGGACGTTTCATCCGATTCAACAAGAAAATTGTTATAAATGAAAAGGGATTTTTGGAGACGTAGCTGTAGATTATCAAGGCTACAATATGTCCAAATAATGCCATTAAGGATAAAGTGAACGAACCCCTCAACATCCTGTACTCCATTGAGACCATATATATATATATATATATATATATATATATATATATATATATATAAGACCATGCGGTCTTGTTTTTTCTGTCTTGGGTTCTTATTAACATCCTTGTTTATTCCTATGATTTTGTATGTCTTAATGTATTTCATCATTACAAATTAGGAATATTTCGTTATGTCTGACATTATCAATTTTTCTTAAGGCGAATTTTAAATTGAAAACGTACTTGTTATTTTCGCTCAAATCGAAAGGGGATTCCAGAGTGCTAGCGGGTGCAGCAACTGTGAAACTGAGACGTGCCAGATGTTCCTAACAGACACAGCCCGTGACTTACCAGATTAGTTTTTTAAAAAAAAGAGAAAAAAAAAGAATAAGATCTATACTACATTCCTTCTTGTTTTATGGTCGTGCTTTTGGGCAACAAATTGAAAGTACTTTCACTTTCCATTAATCCATTTTTCAATTGTATTAGAGTGTTTGAAATGATTGATAGGATTCGAATCGTTATATAATATTGCAATATTTTTTTCAGCCAGTTAATTGATTTTTAAAACTTTGGTTTTTTAAATTATGCTCAAAATTATCTATAAACCTTCATATTATAAAATGATGTTTTTATTTGATGTAAAAATTATTTATTTATAATAAAATCTGCTGGCCGCAACACATAACTTTCACTTACCGCTCTACTTTGGATAGAAATTATTTTCTGGCGATGTTTTGTTCTATCGTAAAATTTTTGAATTGCATTTTAAATGGAGCTACATCTTAAAACTTACAGCTAACAAGTCATTAACACCATTAAAATAACAAAAACTAATGTGTGCGATTTAGACATCAACAAGGCGTGATAAATAATATGAAATATAAATTATAAATAATAGCTCATTATAAAGGGAATGGAATGCTGAAAACATTTCCTTCGCTCACAGTTTGCAGGTCCGATTTTTAGTTTCTGAAATCGTCTCTGGCCGACTTTACCCGAGCGTTACACATCTGATGGCTCAATCTAATTAACTCTCCACAAATAAAGTGCAAAACGCGCCTGAAGAAGTTTTCACTTCAGTAATAATAAATAAGTGATTCATTTTTGTAAATCCTTCATTGACTGGAGTCACTAACGGAACCACGATTTAATTTTGGGAGGGGCTTCAGCCCGAAAGATTTTTTTTTTTTTTTGTATGTATATAGTAGGATAATTACTTCGGAAGAAAGAAAGAAACTAACTACCTACATGAAATGGTGTTTAAGTGATTCTTTAAGTCCTATTAGATGTAATTAGACGAACAAAAATACTTTCAAAGTTAATTTTTTTCATTAAACATGTTTATATTTTATTATTTTGGAGGAAGGGGAGGGGGAACTTCAGCCCTCCCCCGTAGATCCGCCTGTGACTGGAGTTATTATTATACACTACTATTTATTATATGTTGCGAGTGAGTGTCGGGCTGAAGCCCCTCCTTCTCCCTCTCCCAAAATGGTAAAATGCAATCATGTATAAAGGTAAAAAATATTTTTA